AGTTCAGTTTTAGTTCAGTTCTAGTTCAGTTCTAGTTCAGTTCTAGTTCAGTTCTAGTTCAGTTCTAGTTCAGTTCTAGTTCAGTTCTAGTTCAGTTCTAGTTCAAGTTCAGTTCTAGTTCAGTTCTAGTTCAAGTTCAGTTCTAGTTCAGTTCTAGTTCAGTTCTAGTTCAGTTCTAGTTCAGTTCTAGTTCAGTTCTAGTTCAGTTCTAGTTCAGTTCTAGTTCAGTTCTAGTTCAGTTCTAGTTTAGTTCTAGTTCTAGTTCAGTTCTAGTTCAGTTCAAGTTCAGTTCTAGTTCTGTTCTGGCTCAGTTCTAATTCAATTCTTGTTCAGTTCTAGTTCAGTTCTAGATCAGTTCTAGTTCAGTTCTAGTTCAGTTCTAGTTCAGTTCTAATTCAGTTCTAATTCAGTTCTAGTTCAGTTCTAGTTCTAGTTCAGTTCTAATTCAGTTCTAGTTCAGTTCTAGTTCAGTTCTAGTTCAGTTCTAGTTCAGTTCTAATTCAGTTCTAGTTCAGTTCTAGTTCAGTTCTAATTCAGTTCTAATTCAGTTCTAATTCAGTTCTAGTTCAGTTCTAGTTCAGTTCTAGTTCAGTTCTAGTTCAGTTCTAGTTCAGTTCTAGTTCAGTTCTAGTTCAGTTCTAGTTCAGTTCTAGTTCAGTTCTTGTTCTGTTCTAGAATTGTTCTAGTTCAGTTCTAGTTCATTTCTAGTTCAGTTCTAGTTCAGTTCTAGTTCAGTTCTAGTTCAGTTCTAGTTCAGTTCTAGTTCAGTTCTAGTTCAGTTCTAGTACAGTTCTAGTTCAGTTCTAGTTCAGTTCTAGAATTGTTCTAGTTCTGTTCTAGTTCAGTTATAGTTCATTTATAGTTCAGTTATAGTTCAGTTATAGTTCAGTTCTGTTTTAGTTCTGTTTTAGTTCTGTTTTAGTTCTGTTCTAGTTCTGTTCTAGTTCTGTTTTAGTTCTGTTCTAGTTCTGTTCTAGTTCTGGTTTTGGACCCTTCTGGCTTATTTTCACTTCAGTTCTAATGATTTTGATTGATCGTTTCGTAATATTTGTATTGATGATTCAAACCAGTTCAAAATTATTAACCAACGTAACTGTTTCTAAGCCAAGCCTCCATAATATTTTGAAAAACATCTAGAAGTTAATTTACTCTAAATATTTACTAAAAATATCTCAAATTTTTTATCCACCACTTTGTGTTTATTTTTATTTTTTCCAATATTTTATTACCACTAGCAACAAAAACTGTATGTATCTCTCTATATCTGCTGATTTCAATTTATAATTTATGCATATTAAAATCAAAATAAAAATAATAAAATCGAAAAAAAATAACAACTGTAACAGAACGAGAAAAACAAAATACTTGTTTGTTCAAAAAAAAAAAAAAAAAATAATAATAATAAGAAAAAAAAAAAACAAAATAAATATTCAAATTTAAAAAAACACTATAAAACGAGCGGTAAAGCAGGATTTTCACCTGATTATTTAAATCTAGTTAAAAGTTATAAGAAAATAAAGCGCCGCCAAATGCTTTAAAAGAGGCTATGAACCGCTCGACGCTTATCATTCAACTTTAAATAGTCTTAGCGAAGATACTAAACTTAAGAAGTGGAATCAATTTTAATTAAAATCAATAATTTCTAATTTTTTCGATAAAATATTAAGCAACTTAAAAACTATAGTGTAAAGTGATAATGGTATGTTGGTGTGATAGAAGAATCGAGAAATAAAAACATCAAATCATGTGTTTGATTATATAAGTTTATAAAATGAAGTGAAAAGTTATTGAAGCTATAAAAAGGACTTAAAAATGGATTTTTAACAGGACTTAACAAATGATTTACTGAATAATTTAAGTGGAAAATAAAGTTTGTTATGAAATATGTTACTATTTCTAAGAGATTAATTAAATTTTTAAAGTGTATATTCATCTCAATTTTAGATTTTTAACAAAATATTAGTTATTTGAAACAAAAATGAAAAATTATTTGTGTAAAGATCTAAAATATCTAATTTATTTAAATTTTTATTTCAAGTTTTAATTCAATTCGACTTGTACTCAAATTCATTTCTAATATAATGCTAATTCCGTTCAAGTTTAGTTCTAGTTCAGCTCCAGTTAAGTTCAAGTTCAGTTCTAGCTCAGTTCTAGTTCAGTTCTAGTTCAGTTCTAGTTCAGTTCTAGTTCAGTCTAGTTCAGTTTTCTAGTTTCAGTTCTAGTTCAGTTCTAGTTCAGATCTAGTTCAGTTCTAGTTCAGTTCTAGTTCAGTTCTAATTCAGTTCTAGTTCAGTTCTAGTTCAGTTCTAGTTCAGTTCTAGTTCAGTTCTAGTTCAGTTCTAGTTCAGTTCTAGTTCAGTTCTAGTTCAGTTTCTAGTTCAGTTCTAGTTCAGTTCTAGTTCAGTTCTAGTTCAGTTCTAGTTCAGTTTTAGTTCAGTTCTAGTTTAGATTTAGTTCAGCTCTAGTTAAGTTCTAGATCAGTTGTAGTTCAGATCTAATTTAGCTCTAGTTCAGTTCTAGCTCAGTACTAGTTAAATTCTAGTTCAGTTCTAGTTCAGTTTTAGTTCAGTTCTACTTCAGTTCTAGTTCAGTTCTAGTTCAGATCTAGTTCAGTTCTAGTTCAGTTCTTGTTGAGTCCTAGTTCAGTTCTAGTTCAGTTCTAGCTCAGTTCTAGTTTAGATCTAGTTCACCTCTGGTTAAGTTCTAGTTCAGTTGCAATTGAGTTCAAGTTCAGTTCTAGTTCTAGTTCAGTTGCAATTGAGTTCAAGTTCAGTTCTAGTTCAGTTCTAGTTCAGTTCAAGTTCAGATCTAGTTCAGTTCCAGTTCAGTTCTAGTTCAGTTCTAGTTCAGTTCAGTTCAAGTTAAGTTCTAGATCAGTTCTAGTTCAGTTCTAGTTCTAGTTCAGTTCTAGTTCAGTTCTAGTTCAGTTCTAGTTCAGTTCTAGTTCTAGTTCAGTTCTAGTTCAGTTCTAGTTCAGTTCTAGTTCAGTTCTAGTTAAGTTCTAGTTCAGTTCTAGTTCAGATCTAGTTAAGTTCTAATTCAGTTATAGTTCAGTTCTAGTTAAGTTCTAGATCAGTTCTAGTTCAGTTCTAGTTCAGTTCTAGTTCAGTTCTAGTTCAGTTCTAGTTCAGTTCTAGTTCAGTTCTAGTTCAGTTCTAGTTCAGTTCTAGTTCAGTTCTAGATCATTTCTAATTCAGTTCCAGTTCAGTTCTAGTTCAGCTCTAGCTAAGTTCTAGTTTAGATCTAGTTAAGCTCTGTTTAACTTCTAGTTCAGTTCTAGTTTAGTTCTAGTTTAGTTCTAGTTCAGTTCTAGTTCAGTTCTAGTTCAGTTCTAGTTCAGTTCTAGTTTAGTTCTAGTTCAGTTCTAGTTCAGTTCTAGTTCAGTTCTAGTTCAGTTCTAGTTCAGTTCTAGTTCAGTTCTAGTTCAGTTCTAGTTCAGTTCTAGTTGAGTTCTGGTTAAGTTCTAGTTCAGTTTTAGTTCAGTTCTAGTTCATTTCTAGTTTTGTTCTAGTTCAGTTTTAGTGCAGTTCTAGTTCAGTTATTGTTCAGTTCTAGTTTAGTTCTAGTTCACTTCCAGTTCAGTTCTATTTCAGTTCTTGTTTTTGCAGTTAATTATATATCTCCTGTTTATCCCCTTTTCTAGACCACATATACCGATAAAGGAGCAAAACCAGAAGCCGGTAAATTTCTTTCCTTCGACCATTTAACCTTTTACGTTGGCAATGCCAAACAGGCCGCTAGCTTCTATACCACCCGTATGGGTTTTACACCTTTGGGTTATCAAGGTTTAGAGACCGGCAATAGAAAATATGCCAAACATGCTGTTAAACAAAACAAAATTGTATTTGTTTTCGTCTCTGCGTACACCACCGATGATGAGGAACACGGTCATCATGTCATGAAGCACGGTGATGGTGTTAAGGATGTAGCCTTTGAGGTAGAAGATATTGAAGCTATCTTCAAGTTTGCCAAAGAAAAGGGTGCTGAGGTTGTGAGAGAATTGTGGGAGGAAACCGATGAATATGGTACCGTTAAATTTGCTACCATTAAGACAGTAAGTTGGGTGTTGTTTATAAATTAATTAAAAGATTTTTGAGACATGTTTTCTTTATTTTTAGTACGGTGACACCACCCACACTTTTGTGGATCGCAGCAATTACCGTGGTGTTTTCTTGCCCGGTTTCAAATCCCTGCCCAAAGATGTTTTATTGGAAAATTTACCCGCCGCTAAATTAGACTTCATTGACCATGTGGTCGGCAATCAACCCGATTTGCAAATGGAAAGTGTAGCCGCTTGGTATGAGCGCATTTTGCAATTCCATCGTTTCTGGTCTGTGGATGATTCACAAATTCATACCGAATACTCAGCCTTGAGATCCATTGTCATGGCCAACTACGAAGAGACTGTTAAGATGCCCATTAATGAGCCAGCCAAGGGCAAAAAGAAATCACAAATTCAAGAATATGTAGAATACTATGGTGGTGCTGGTGTCCAACATATTGCCTTGAATACCAGTGATATTATCACCGCCATTAGAAACTTGAAAGCCAGAGGCATGGAATTTTTATCCATACCCGATTCTTATTATGAAATTTTAACTGAAAATCTTAAACACAGCCGTACTAAGATTAAGGAAGATATGAAAATTCTTAAGGAATTGAACATTTTGATCGATTATGATGAAAATGGTTATTTGTTGCAAATTTTCACCAAAAATATGCAAGATCGTCCCACATTGTTTTTGGAAGTTATACAACGTCATAACCACAATGTAAGTTTGAAGAAGAAGAAAAAGTTTATTATAACAGGAATTATATTAAATTTTTGATATTTATTTACAGGGTTTTGGTGCTGGCAACTTCAAATCTTTATTCACCGCCATTGAAATTGAACAAGCCAAACGTGGCAATTTGTAAATTTATTTTATACATTTTTTTTTTACTTTTTCTTTTTATTTCTATTTACCGGCACAAAGGCCTTGATAAATGCTGTTTTAATATAAAATAAATATAGTTTTAATTAATAATTAAGCCTTACTTGGTTGTTTGTTTACTTCTTATCCTTGAAACGATTATCGATTAACACCTCATTCCTAGGATCATCAGCCTGAAAGGATAATATGAAAGGATTCCAAAAATCTTTGGGGGTATTTTGACGCATAATATCGTTATAGTGACGTTGATGAGACTTTTCTAAATGCTGTTGAATTTGTACATCGGTTAAACCTTTATCTAAAAAGTTGATTAACTACAAAGATGTGGGGAGGGAAAATAAGTAAAAGTTGTATTTATTGCTGGCGCATAAACTTACTTTTTCGCATTCTTCACAGTCTATGTTGAAGCGTTGTTTTATGGTTAATTTCTTTGTTGTTGGCGCAACATCCTTTTCTTGTTTTATTATAAAAGGTTTAGGCATAAAGTCTTCTTCATCGTCTGTATCTAATTCATCTAATAAAGGATTTTGTGCTTTTATACTTGTACTACAACCTGGTTTCTCTTCTTTTTTTATATCTGTGGCAGTCTTTAATTCTTGTGTTATTTTTTCTTGTTTAATTTTATTTAAAGGTTTTATTTCCTTATTACATTGAAGTTTATCCTGTGGCTTTTTAAATCCTTCCATGTCCTTAGTTTGTTGTTTTTGTATGCTGCAAATAATTGATTAAAAATGCCTTTAAAATTATTCTTTTCAAACAACTTACTATTTACTTTCATATTTCTTTAGTTTCTCCAAATTATCTGTGCTAGCCAATAAGTCCATAGTATCAATTTCATGCTCAACATCACTACAATCATCTACAAATATTATGTCCTGTGTACCAGGCGTTAGTATCACCACACTTGATGTATCACTTTTAATGGTTGAAATGCTCATTGGATCGTTAGGTAAGGCAGTACAATCTGTAGAGATTTCATTATCAAATTTCAATTGTTTAGGTTGTAAGTCTTTAGAGGAATTAAGTTCCAAAGTTGAATCAGGCTTTTTCGAAGGTGAAAAGTCAAAGACTATATCATCTAGGGTTTTATCGATATCGTGCTTATCATCTTTTTTGTTTGTTGTTACGTTTGCTATTGGGTTTATTGTTGTGTTGTTGTTGTTGCTGTGATTGTGGCCGCTTCTGTAATCTTGGCAATTTGTTGTGTTTATTATTTTCCTATTCCCTTAAAAATTTTCTTACAATGGATTTACCTGTGAGCCCAGGAGCGTCCAGCTTTTGAGTTTTTATTTACTACTACTGGGCTAGCATCGATTATATCTTCTCCTACATCGGACTATAATAAGTATATTAAATATTTAAATAAGAATATTAAATATTTAAATAAGAATATTAAATATTTAAATAAGAACAAACATTTTTAAACAAGCTTCGCGATGCAGATGAAGAATACTTATTTGCCGAAAAATACACATTGTGGACAAAATTTTGAAAAAGCTAACATCAGATGGGTTTACATGCTAAATGGAGTCTATGCTTGTAAATGTACACTCACCTCACTTAAAATTTTACATGGGAAATCATAAATCAAGTCATCATGAAACTTTTGTAATCGTTGAATTTTCCTAAGACTAGGTTTCTTTAATGACAAACGCAATCTATTGCTCTTAAACTTTTAAAAATTATTTAATTATAAAAAAACGTTATCTACAGAATTTTTTTTATTCAGTTTAAGTTTAGATCTGGTCTAGCAAAAGTTCAGTTCTAGTTCAGTTCTGGATCAGTTTTAGTTCAGTTCTAGTTTAGTTCTAGTTCAGTTCTAGTTTAGTTCTAGTTTAGTTCTAGTTCAGTTCTAGTTCAGTTCTAGTTCAGTTCTAGTTCAGTTCTAGTTCAGTTCTAGTTCAGTTCTATTTCAGTTCTAGTTCAGTTCTAGTTCAGTTCTAGTTCTGTTCTAGTTCAGTTCTAGTTCAGTTCTAGTTCAGTTCTAGTTCAGTTCTAGTTCACTTCTAGTTCAGTTCTAGTTCAGTTCTAGTTCAGTTCTAGTTCAGTTCTAGTTCAGTTCTAGTTCAGTTCTAGTACAGTTCTAGTTCAGTTCTAGTTCAGTTCTAGTTCAGTTCTAGTTCAATTCTAGTTCAGTTCTAGTTCAGTTCTAGTTCAGTTCTAGTTCAGTTCTAGTTCAGTTCTAGTTCAGTTCTAGTTCAGTTCTAGTTCAGTTCTAGTTCAGTTCTAGTTCAGTTCTAGTTCAGTTCTAGTTCAGTTCTAGTTCAGTTCTAGTTCAGTTCTAGTTCAGTTCTAGTTCAGTTCTAGTTCAGTTCTAGTTCAGTTCTAGTTCAGTTCTAGTTCAGTTCTAGTTCAGTTCTAGTTCAGTTCTGGTTCAGTTCTAGTTCAGTTCTAGTTCAGTTCTAGTTCAGTTCTAGTTCAGTTCTAGTTCAGTTCTAGTTCAGTTCTAGTTCAGTTCTAGTTCAGTTCTAGTTCAGTTCTAGTTCAGTTCTAGTTCAGTTCTAGTTCAGTTCTAGTTCAGTTCTAGTTCAGTTCTGGTTCAGTTCTAGTTCAGTTCTAGTTCAGTTCTAGTTCAGTTCTAGTTCAGTTCTAGTTCAGTTCTAGTTCAGTTCTAGTTCAGTTCTAGTTTAGTTCTAGTTTAGTTCTAGTTCAGTTCTAGTTCAGTTCTAGTTCAGTTCTAGTTCAGTTCTAGTTCAGTTCTAGTTCAGTTCTAGTTCAGTTCTATTTCAGTTCTAGTTCAGTTCTAGTTCAGTTCTAGTTCTGTTCTAGTTCAGTTCTAGTTCAGTTCTAGTTCAGTTCTAGTTCAGTTCTAGTTCACTTCTAGTTCAGTTCTAGTTCAGTTCTAGTTCAGTTCTAGTTCAGTTCTAGTTCAGTTCTAGTTCAGTTCTAGTTCAGTTCTAGTACAGTTCTAGTTCAGTTCTAGTTCAGTTCTAGTTCAGTTCTAGTTCATTCTAGTTCAGTTCTAGTTCAGTTCTAGTTCAGTTCTAGTTCAGTTCTAGTTCAGTTCTAGTTCAGTTCTAGTTCAGTTCTAGTTCAGTTCTAGTTCAGTTCTAGTTCAGTTCTAGTTCAGTTCTAGTTCAGTTCTAGTTCAGTTCTAGTTCAGTTCTAGTTCAGTTCTAGTTCAGTTCTAGTTCAGTTCTAGTTCAGTTCTAGTTCAGTTCTAGTTCAGTTCTAGTTCAGTTCTAGTTCAGTTCTGGTTCAGTTCTAGTTCAGTTCTAGTTCAGTTCTAGTTCAGTTCTAGTTCAGTTCTAGTTCAGTTCTAGTTCAGTTCTAGTTCAGTTCTAGTTCAGTTCTAGTTCAGTTCTAGTTCAGTTCTAGTTCAGTTCTAGTTCAGTTCTAGTTCAGTTCTAGTTCAGTTCTAGTTCAGTTCTAGTTCAGTTCTAGTTCAGTTCTAGTTCAGTTCTAGTTCAGTTCTAGTTCAGTTCTAGTTCAGTTCTAGTTCAGTTTAGTTCAGTTCTAGTTCAGTTCTAGTTCAGTTCTAGTTCAGTTCTAGTTCAGTTCTAGTTAGTTCAGTCAGTTCTAGTTCAGTTCTAGTTCAGTTCTAGTTCAGTTCATTAGTTCAGTTCTAGTTCAGTTCTAGTTCAGTTCTAGTTCAGTTCTAGTCAGTTCTAGTTCAGTTCTAGTTCAGTTCTATTCAGTTCTAGTTCAGTTCTAGTTCAGTTCTAGTTCAGTTCTAGTTCAGTTCAGTTCAGTTCTAGTTTCAGTTCTAGTTCATTCTAGTTCAGTTCTAGTTCAGTTCTAGTTCTAGTTCTAGTTCAGTTCTAGTTCAGTTCTAGTTCAGTTCTAGGTTCTAGTTCTGGTTCAGTTTAAGTTCTATTACAGTTTATTTCACACTATAAGAAGGATATTAGATAAGCGATCGACATCGCCATTTCCGAACCTAAACATACAGGGTAGGGCTCTAGCTGAATAGCCAGAGAGATACAAATAAATTATATTTTGTTCATCAGTCACTGATGAAACCACAAATGTTTAAATTTGACTTCATTTCATACAAGATCGATAAACTGCACTACTTACCTCCCGAAAACTTCCATCTTTAGATGTACTAAAATTTAACAGCGACTGTTTCACTTTGCTGGGATTTGGTTTTCTCAAAGACAAACATAATCTCTTATCGGCTGTCGCTTTTTTTGCATCCGCATTAGTTTTATCCTCTGTGGCTTTCATTTTTTCCGGTTGTAAAAATTTCATGGTCCATGAGTTTTTCCGCTGGACTTTTACGATCTTTGGTATGCCATTCTGATTTTGATCTCTCCACAGACTTATTGTGAACCTTCAAACAACGCATTGAGTCCCGTTGTTTATTTCTCTTGGGTGACTCTTTTACACGTGGACTTGGCACCATTTCCGATGATGTTGTTATGCTAACATCATTTTTTGATTGACTTAAAGCAGACGTCTCAAATAGTTGTTCGCTATTAAGAGCCATATTTAGATTGGAAGCACCCATAGGTTCGTCATCGGTTAGACTAAGATCTGAGGTAACACGGTCTTCCTGTGAAGAATTATTACCCAACCAGGAATCATCACTATGTTGAGACTTAAAACGTTTGGCAGGTTGTTGTTGTTGCTGTTGATGATTCTTTTGTAGGAGTTGTAGAGCTTTGTTAAGTTTCTCATTGCGTTCCTTGATTTGTTGCAATTCTAAGTCACGTTGTTGTAGGGCATTTTTATAAACTAGAAATAATAATTAATATTACGTTGTTGTATTAATAATATTCTTCAACCTACAAGTATAATGGTGTTTTATTATATCAATAGCTTTTTCAAAGCAATCTTCAATTTCGGAAGGTTGAGCTATGCGTTTACATGCTTTACATAACATTTTGTTTATATTTGTTAATAATTTGTTGATTATTTAAGTAAAAAACATAACTTTTTTGTAAAATTTTAAAGAATTTATTTAATATTAAATGTTATTGGCAACGCGAGAAAGGGCATAAATAAAATATTGCAAAAATAGCTGAACTTCGAAAGTATAGCCATTTTGTAAAAAAATATTGCCACAAAGAAAATTTTCTATAGAAAAATTTTCTTACGAAATAAAAGTGTTGCAATGAAAAATTTAGACAGTTTTTCTTATATCTTTTATATAGTCTAGTTTATACTCTAGTCTATAGTGTAGTTTATAGTCTAGTCTATAGAGTAGTCTATAGTCTAGCCTATAGTCTAGTCTATATTATAATCTATAGTCTAGTTTAAAGTCTAGTCCATAGTATGTATTTCAAAACATAAATTTTCCATACCTGGTGTTTATATAAAATAACTCAATTTTTATTTGCTTTAATAAGAAATGAGTGGCATCTCTGATTTTTCTGCCATTATAAACTACCTATAAGTTGGCTACACCTACTTAACAGCTGTTCGGGGATTTTTGTAAAAGTGTGGTTGTTTTTCGGCATTTCGTTTTTCTTTTTTTTTGCAGTGAAATTATTTAATAAAAATTAAAATATTGTATTAAATTTTCGAAAAATAGCAATAAATAATATGGCTCATATAAGAGAAACAGCCGACAAGGCTTTAAAAATGCTGCGTACTTTGCCCAGAGTACAAATTGGCAATTTAAGACCCAATCCAAATTCTAAACAAAATGTAAGTGAACTAGAGAAACGATTACATCAAAGATTTTCAATAAAACTGCTATTGGTATACTATTTATAGGATAAAAGAGGTCGTGCCCAGCATGGTGGTGATAAACATGGTGCCGGTAATAAGGGTTCTGGACAGAGACAAAATTTCATGCGTCTTGGTTATGAAACAGGCAATACACCCTTCTATATACGTTTCCCCTATGAACCCTACTATAAGGGACATCATCTGAGAAGACAATATCCCAAGATTTCCTTGTTACAATTACAAGTTATGTTGGACACCAATCGTATAGATGCCAAACAGCCCATAGATTTGACAACTTTGTGTAATACTGGTTTGGTTAGTTTCAATCCCGCCTCCATGGAATTTGGTTTCCAATTAACCGATGAGGGTGCCGATAAATTCAAGACCAAGATATGTATAGAAGTTCAACATGCTAAGGAAGCGGTTATAGCGGCCATAGAACGTAATGGTGGTGTTATACGTACCGCCTATTATGATCCCAGAAGTTTACATGCTTTGAAAAATCCCGAGAAATGGTTTGAAAAGGGTGTACCCATACCCAAGAGATTGCTTGCCACCACAAGACGCTATAGGTTATTATTCCTCGGCAGAAAATCGTGGTTATTTGGCAGATCCCGAAGAAATCAGTAAACATCGTTTGGTTTTAGCTCAAAAGTATGGTTATGAATTGCCCAAGATAGAAGAAGATCCAGACTATGAAATGCTTACTAGCATGAAGGATGCCAGACAATTGTTCTATGGTTTAGAACCCGGCTGGGTGGTTAATCTTAAGGATCAAACGATTATCAAACCAAAAGAAAGTACACAATAGATACCATATAAACTTATACTTTATATTAAATAGTTTTTGTTGAAAATATGCATAAAATAAATGTTAGAAAAAAACTGTATATAAAACAATCGAGGTTATTTATAAGAAAATTTGTTAAATTATAATACGTTTTTCTTTTTAATAATCCTCCAGAATAAAGTTTTTTTCTTTTTAACTTTATGTATCTCTGAAGTTTATAGCTTTTGTTTGTAACTTATTCTAGTAATTATGTCATTATATGCTTATATATAGATATCTTACTTGTCTTCTGATATTTTTCTCATATAAAAACTTGCTGATCTGACAGTTCCTCCATGAAAGGTTTGACTATAGCACTTGTGGCTAAACAAAAGAATAGTCCAAAGAATATTGATATAGGCAATGCTGGTAATGCTTTACGCCATATGGCTAACAGAACTAATGTTAGACATAATCCCACTAGTATAGCCACAAAACAGGCAATTGTTGTGGCCCAATCGCCATATGATGATGCTTTACCCACCAATACAGAGTAGAAAATAAAATCACCCTAGACCTAGTTTAATGCCACCTGGAAAAAAGGAATAAGTTGGATGTTGATTTATAGTCGTTTAGAAGAACGGAAAAAGTTTAGAGAGATTTATTTAAACAGTTGAATATGTGGAGAGTATCATATAATCTAGAATCTCTGAGTAATCACTTCGTATTTTGTGCTCTCTAGTTTGATCAGCTTTGACCCCCAAGCTGTAAATAGAAATCAAGAAAAAGCCTTTGAAAATATACTTACGTTCTTCCTGAGCTTCCGTCATATTACTGCCTATTTGAGAGGGCCGAGTTTCCTGAGTAGTAACCGTACGATAATTAGTAGAACGATTAGCATTATCTGAAGTACTGGCCTGAACCTCAATTTGACGGCGAGCCACACGATCATCTAAATTCGAAGACCATTCTTCGGTAAAACCAGCCGCTTCTAAACAATCGAAAAGAAATGAAAAAGTTTTAAAGAAAACATCATTTAGATTGAAACAAATAGTAACGCGCTACGTTGAGAAAATGAAATTTGTAAAAGAATAAAAGTAATGGAAAAAGAAATGGTACTCCCTTACACCTCACTAAAAACAAAACCTACTAAAAGATAACAAAACACAAGCTTTACGAAAGTTATACAACATCTAAGAAGTTTTTCTTTTAGTTTGAAAATAAAAACAAATTAAAATAAAAATAAATACCATTTCCGCGCATTTTAAATGTCACTAGAGGCATACCTTCAGCACTAGGAGGTGCACTTGTACCTGTACGGGAAACAGAAGTAGACGAAGTAGAGGTATGCGGCGAGTTGGGTGAATTAGAATCGGAAGAATTATTGCGTTGAGCCGGAGCATGGGTGCCCATAAAGGTGTACAAAACAGTGGCTAAAGAAAAGTACAGTTATTTAGTTTAAGTTCTCTTAAAAACACAAAATTTACTTACAAGAGTAGATTAAGGCGGGGAATATTTGTTCATTTCTTTCCTGGGCGGTTTCTACTAAAATACGCAAAGGTCCTTTGGGGGTTAAAACAGCTACTAAATCTGTAAATTTCGTTATTTTAGTTAAAAAAAACTAGTTTGTGGTAATAATTTATAAACAAAATACCCCATATAGATATAGCCGCCAATACAGCCCAGGCAGTCCATTCGGGTAAATATTTAATGAACACCAAAGCCATTAAAGCCGAAACAAATATCAAATAAGCCTGTTGCAACTTTAGAGGACTCTGCCAGTGTATGGCTATCATGCCCATAACACCAAAATTCCATAATATCAACAGTGTGGTGGGATAATCCATAGCAACATTATAGGCTCTTAAAAGTTCTCTAAAATTCGTTTCAATTTATATAACAAGTTTGATTTTGGTTGATAAATTCTGTGGAAACACTTACTCCAAATATAAATAACTGAAAATGAATAGCAACATAAACGATGATAGTATCAACCAGCCGTGTATAATCTTATAACAACGTTTCTTATAGAGAACAATTAGAAATATGGTCATTACCACTACGACGGAGAGAAGTATTAGGGAATTGGCCAAGGCATTCCAAAGTTTGGTGCCCTTATCTTCAGATAATTCATGGAATGGGGTATATAATCTGTAAATGAAGTTAATATTTTAATTTCCTTTCCAAACACATTTTTCTATAGAAAAGTTTGTGCCCAATCTATTCTTGTTTAAAATGTTTAAAGAAATTAAAATTTCAAGCTTACTTACAAATAAGTATCAGTATAGGTATAAAAGGTAATCGAATTAATGGTGGCCACTACCACCAACATGCACAAAGAAACGGGTGCAAAAATCTTTATAACATGTTGAGCTCCATATTTTCAAACCCTGCTTCCTCATCTTCGGCCTCTGTATTAGTAGGTTGAGAACTAGAGGGAACATCTGGATCGCTGGGATTACCACCGTCAGCATCACGCAGACGTCTACTACGTATTTCCACATTGGGTACATCTAAAATGGCCTAAAAATATCAAACATTAAACGTAATTTACTAGAGTGGAAGTTTCCTCTAACAACTCTCAACTTACCCCATCTGTAGCATCACGTTGCTCTGTGCCACCATAACTATTCAACTGTTCCGTTTTACGTTTTTGCTGACGTTTCCGTTCAGCTCCTCCCGTTATCGAGTTGTTACAACTGATTTGAGGGGCACCGACGTGGCCTTCCATCAGGGGGGTACTTTCGTCGGGCTCAGCCTCGTTGGCGTTTGTTCTTTTTTGATCCGTGTTTAAAGTTTTTTATTTTACAACAAAAAGGCAGCAGTAGTAAAAAAAATTAGCAAAGAAAATAATATGGAGGCGTTGTTATAAGATCTTTGTGTGTTTTTGCAAATACAATCTTTTGTTAGGTATAAAAAAAATGTTAATTATGGTAAAACTAATTAGTTAAATTATAGTTAATTTACTTTTTTATTTAAATTTAAAACTTATTTGTTGTTTTTTTATTAATTTTTTGTTATTTATTTCGCGTTTTTAAACTATTTTTTGCACTTTATTTTTCTGCTGCAATGTGAATCAACGATAGAGACCGGCGCCAGCAAATATTAACGGCGGCGGCGACTGACACTAAATATGTCGGCGGCGGCTTAAAATCGACTGTAAGCCGGCTAAGTTTTCAACTACGTTTAGTTTTTAATTTTTCAACGATTTTAAATAAAAACGGAATCCGAGAGATCAGAAAGTAGGATTTTGGAAGCAAATATATTGTTTATAACAACAAAACAGAGCAAACTCAAAAGTTGTATGAGAAATTATGCAGGGATGAATAAAAAATTCTTAAAAATTAAAAAACAAATCCTTTCTCCAAGTTTTACTAGGATCTGCCGATATTTAATCCAGTTTGTAAAAAATCAGTTTGTAAAAAATTTTGCATTAAGAAAATGATCAATAACGTAAAAACAAAGATATTTTATTTGTTTATTTACTAGCTATACCCAGTGTGCTGTGCTACCCTAAAAGCAATATAAATAAGAAACCTACTTAACAATTTTGATGATTCTAACCACAAAGTAAGATTCTAACTACAATAGTTTTCCAGATATACAATTTGTTACATATGGGAGATTCCACGTTTAATTTAATCTATGAAAAATTTGAATAATATAATAGTTTCCAGATATACAAAATTTTGTATTTAATTCATATGGGAAGTGCCAAGCCCCGCATTGAAAGTTCGCCCGTTATTCTCTAAATGTTCTTCAGTAAAATTTGAAGATTCTAGCTCTAATAGTTTCTCAGATATACGAATTTTTCTATTTAATTCATATGGGAGCTCCAAGCCCCCCAGATGAAAGTCCGCCCTTTTTTCTCCAAAATGTTCAGATGAATATTAAAGTTGTTCGTGCAAAATTTGAAGAATTTAGTTATATCAGTTTCCCAGATAAACGAATTTTTGTATTTAATTCATATGGGAGGTTCCGCTCCCCTCATTGGTAGTCCCCCAATTTATTACCCAAAATGTTTACATGGATGTTAATGTTCTTCCAGAACAACATCATTTAAAGGGATCACAAAGAGATTGAAAAATATTCCAAAAGTTTCACTTTGAAAACATTATTAGAATGTATGAAAACTCGCAACTTTAAAGGCAGACTATTCCTATTTTAGCGGTAATTTATGATTAAAATAAGTAAGAAGTAAGAGTTATATTCGAAGTAAGAAGTAAGTATGTCGTAAAAAAGCAAATTTCGGAAGTGGTCCGATCATTAATTAAGAACGTCACCGTGATTTTCAGATTAGGGACTTAAATGTGGATTTCGGATCAATAATATATAATTTAAAGTATTTTTTTTAATTCTACTATAATTCTATCATAATGATAACTTTTGGAATGATGTATTAGCTATAAACTGATTTTCTGTAAGAGGGTTATATTGGCGGACCGATCCTCATAACTTTATTTTTCGGTTCCTAAAAATGTTTTTTTTCGTCGACACCGACATTTGAAATCCATTTATGTGCGTTTAAGTCATTTTCTCAAGAAGATTTCATATACATATTTGCATTACATATTTTCGTTCCAACAAAAATTGTTTTATTATGGTATTATTAAGTACGTAAAAAACGTTAAAATCAATTATTGAAGGGGGCAGGGTCAATTATGGCCTATAGAAATTTCGATTGATATCGAGCCATTTTTGCAAAATGGACGTAAGCGAGATAAATTTTCGTTCAATTAGGATACTGCGTGTTAATTTTATGTTTATATATTCAATATTTTAGAAAATTCAAAAGTACCAGTTTAAAGAACGAAAATTACCAGAAATACTCCAGTTCAAATTCACTCAAGTCCCTGATTGCTTAGTTTTATGTTTTTAGGTTCATTATATCGTTTGCAACGATAGAGACCGGCGCCAGCAAATATTAACGGCGTGACTAAAGTTAAAAATTTCGAAGCCGTTTGCAATTATTAAAAATAAGTCGGTATCGTTACTTTGTGACAATTTTAAATATCTTTAAAAAATGTACCTCAAATTATAATATTTTAATAAAAGGCACAATTGTCTTTAAAACTATTCTGTCACAAAGTATTTTAATAGAAAAATAGTTCCAAGCCTTATTTTCGTTTAAAATATTGTATTTTATGTCCCAAACACAATTTTCTATAGAAGAGACCTGGTTCACACTGGAAAACTTTTGTTGAGAAACTTTTGACTTTGTGTGTGAGAGAAAGAGATCGTTGATATTTCTTTCTCTCACACTCAAAATCAAAAGTTTCCCAAAAAAAGTTTGCCAGTGTGAACCAGGTCAAACTGAAATTCTATAGAAAATTTTCTATGGAAAACGTTGTTACAAACACAATTTTGTAACAAAAAATAATTTTCTATAGAAAATTTTGTCGCAATAAATATTTTCTACTTAAAAATGTTTAAAATTTGTTTATTTTTTTAATGAGCAACACTGGTCACCCTATGATTAATATTAATGACGACAACCCTGCCTGCTATTATCAATAGCGAAGAAAACAATAAAGAGAAAATTACAAAAATTCGTCTAACTACGTATGTGTGTACGTGCTAAAGTGCAAATAATAATAATAATCATCAAATAAACACAAAAAAGAACTGTGCAAAATATTATTCATACCGTCTTTTACTAAATTCTGACAAATTTTCCACAACAAATTAAGAAAAAAAACGCTAAAAATGACAGTAATTGCTGGCGGTCATGGTGAACCAAATCCGAATAGCACTTGGCTAGGAGCGCGTGGCATGTGGTTGGCCTATTTTCTGGGAGTCTTAGCGGCTCATTTGATACTGCTGTCGGTGCCATTTATAAGCATTCCCATGGCCTGGACTTTAACAAATCTAATGCATAATGCGGTGGGTAATGCACAAACTGAGTTTAAGGAAGTAAAATTAATAAATGTTCTCTTTTCAGGCCCATTTATACTTCCTGCATATAATAAAGGGGGCACCCTGGTTTTCGATTGAAAATGATACCGGTCGTCAGCTAACACACTGGGAACAAATCGATGATGGTGAACAATTCACAGCAACACGTAAATTCTTAACAGCAGTGCCCATTGTTTTGTAAGTTTTGGATTACTTTTAGTAAAATATGGAAAATTTTATTTACATATTGTTTCCTAGATTCCTGCTCTGTTGTTTGTATACCCGCAATGACACCGATCATTTTATAGCCAATTTTATTTCATTGGTCATTGTTACTCTACCCAAATTGCCACAGTTTCATGGTGTACGCTTGTTTAATATTAACAAATATTAATTGTTCTACCATTTTCGGATTAATTCCTAAAAAACGTATTTGGAAAAAAGTGCTAAATTAGTTTTAAATCGGTGGTAATTTATTCATAAATGTTGGTACTACAGACTGAGTTTATTCTTTTAGATCTGTATGGTCTAAAATTTAATGATAACACATATATTATTATAATAATAAGCTTATCTTATTTGCACCTTTGTTTTAAACAGTAACTCCATTTAAAATTGTTATTTACTACAACATAAAATGTTTGAAAACTAATCACTTTTTATTTAGGTAACTGCTTACAAGATTTGCTGGTTTAATAAGAAATTCATTGAAATTGTAATTAATTGTTTTATATTTAATAATATGTATGTAGTTTTTTTTTCTTTTTATTTCTTGTTACGAAAATATTAATAAATAGATGTGTATTTATGAATGTCCTAAAATTTCAATAATAATTATTACCGTTGCAATAAATGTCAACAAAAACTACTTATTTAAGGTGGCCACATTGTAGGCTATTCGTCATAGGCCTCACTAGAGTGACATTTTTGCAAAAAAGTAGCAATTAAAACAATGTTTTCTATAGAAATTGGCTTTTATGCTAAAAATTTCTAAAAAAATATTGCTTTGCTTCACAATTTATTTACCGTTGCAGGAAATTTCAAAAAAAAAAAAAAAATATTTACTTATTAAGGTGTCCAGATTATTAGGCTTTTCTCATAAACTTTACAATGGTGCAATTTTTTTAGGAATTTGCAATTTTGAGATAGTTTTCTATAGAAATTTGTCTTTGATAAAAAATTTTCTATAAAACTTGTTTTCCTACAAAATATTTTATAAAAAATTTCATTGGGATACAATTTTTATAGAAAATTTTCATATGAAAAAATTTTTCTAAAGAAAATTTGCATTGGGTCAAGTTTTTCTTTAGAAAATATTCATTGGGACAAAATTGTTTTATAGATAACTGTATTTGTTACAAAAATTTTCTATAGAAAATGTTTACTGGAACAAAATTTTGAGAAAAAACTTTCCGATAATTTAGCTTTTGTTTAAAATTAAAATAAATATTTAAAATTATATGTGTAAATATTTCTTTTTAATATTTACACGTACTAGATATACTTTAATGATAAAATAAAATTAGTTTACTTTTCTTTATTATTATTTTTCCCTTGTATGACATTGTACTATTATTAAATGTCAAGTAGTAATATATGTTTGCCACTTTATAATCTTTAATGCACTCGTTTCTACTTCTCCTCATTTACACTTATTATCAGTGATAGATTTCTTTGTTTTACATTAAATTCTTAACACACCTTCTATTTTCTCAATACTTAGAATACAAAATTTTAATCAACTTCCTCCCCGCGGAAAATAAATAATATATTAATTAAAAAACTGTTACTTTTTCAATTGATTTACGAGAGAGAATCAGAATATTGCAAATTGGCATATGAATACAATTGCAACCGCTGGCGTCAAGCGATTACTGAATATAACTAAAACTAACGTTAGCATTTTTTTAACTTGTAACAAGTGAACGCTAGTCATAAACCCATGACTTTGCCAAACAAAATATACGGAAACGTCTTGTGGTTAGTGGTATCAATTGTAATCATGAAAACTTGCATTATTTGAGAGTAAATTTAATTCAATTTACACATACGCTTTGCCATCCATTTCGTGCTCTTGGTAAACAAAACAATTTGCTTAATAAAATAAATTGATACAAATAAAATTTGCTGTAGCTCAGAGATAATTTATTGTTTGTTAAATAAACAGATGTTTAAAAGTGTTTTTCTGTGTTGAAGGGGCACTTTAAAACTTTTTTTTATAGTTTAGTTGCAATTGAGCATTTCATTAAAACACATTGAAAAGGAATTGTTTTTAAAACAAGTATTAAAAGGTAAGTGAGAAAAAAATATATTTATGCAATAATAAAAATTGTTTGCAAAAAGTACAAAAAATTTGAAAAATAGTATAAGATCTGTTATAGTTACATTTAAAAAAAAACAATAGACATTTTCTACTATTTATATGGAAAATCTTTTAAAGAATATTTAAAACTCTTAATTATTAATACCAAATTTTGAAAAGTGTTTTTCCTATCAATTTATAATATCAATATCATACCATATGAAGTTTTTTAAGCTGCCATATTTATACAAAATATGTTGTGATTTCCGTTATGCTAAAATTGGGTTGCCAAGTATAGCTTAATAATTAATATGCGCAGGCCGGAAAGGGGAAGGGGGAAGAGAGGGAGTAAAGGCAAGGCCGAGAAGGAAAAGAGAAGGGAAAAGGCGAGCGAGCGAGCGAGCAGCGAGAGCGAGCGAGCGAGCAGCGAGCGAGGAGCGAGCGAGGAGCGAGCGAGGAGCGAGCGAGCGAGCGAGCGAGCGAGCGAGAGCGAGCGAGCGAGCGAGCGAGCGAGCGAGCGAGCGAGCGAGAGAGCGAGCGAGCGAGCGAGCGAGCGAGCGAGCGAGCGAGCGAGCGAGCAGGCGAGCGAGCGAGCGAGCGAGCGAGCGAGGAGCGAGGAGCGAGCGAGCGAGCGAGAGAGAGCGAGCGAGCGAGCGAGCGAGCGAGCGAGCGAGCGAGCGAGCGAGAGCGAGCGAGCAGCGAGCGAGCGAGCGAGCGAGCGAGCGAGCGAGAGCGAGCGAGCGAGCGAGCGAGCGAGCGGGATCGAGCGAGCTCTAGCTATCTAGCGAGCGAGCGATCTAGCTAGCTATCTGATTATCTACTACTAACTATCTATCTATCTAAATTACTTTCAAAATCTAAAAATTACATAAATTCAAATTTTTTAACAAAAATTTATAAAAAATATCTATTTACTTTCTATTTCTAGTCTCCATCATGGTCGTAGTTAAAGAAGAAGATTTCGGCACCATAGTAGATCCTATGACTAAACAACCGGCTAAAGTACGTCGCATAACCCTCTCAAATGATCACCAAATGTCGGTTCAACTTTTGACTTTGGGTGTGAATATAGCCAGTGTACGCTTGCCGGATAAAAAAGGTCAAGTTGATGAATTATCTTTAAGTTTTGATAATGTCGAAGGTTATATAGCCACACAGCCAGCATATATAGGTGCCACAATGGGTCGTGTAGCAAATCGTGTGGCTAATGGTCGTTTTACTTTGAATGGAAAGAGATTCAAGTTACCAAGAATTTCAAAGATAAATATCAATTACATGGTGGTTTTATTGGTTTCGATAGTGTCATCTGGGAGGTGGTACAAACTCTACCGGATGGTGTTGTTTTCAAACATATTTCGCCTGATGGTCATGAGGGTTATCCAGGAGAGGTAACCTGCACCATAACCTGTACTTTAAATGACAACAATGAATTTCGCATGCAAATTGAGGCCACCACCAATCAGACAACCTGTATTAATGTTACTAATCATGCTTACTTTAATTTGGCGGGTCATAATTCCGGTAAACTAGGTCTTAGTCAACACACTGTTATGATTAATGCCGATAATATAGTAGACACCGATTTAGACCAAATACCCACCGGCAAATTGGCTCCGGTAGCAAATACTGTATATGATTTAAAAACTCCTGCTAAATGGCCGATCGCTTACCCTTGTTTAAGGATAAACCCATTAATGGTTATGACAACTGTTATTGTGTGAATTTGGAAGGTAATAAAACAACCCGCATAGCACGTGTGGAACATCCGGAAAGTGGACGTTGGCTGGAGATTTTAACCAATCAGCCTGGAGTGCAATTTTATACTTCTAACAATCTGCCGGATGTAGAGAATGGTGCCCCCGCTTTAGAGGGTAAAGGTGGTGCCCTTTATGTTAAGCAATGGAGCATTTTGTTTGGAAACACAAAAGTATCCCGACTCTATGAATCATGCTAATTTTCCTACAATATTTTTAAATCCAGGCGAGAAATATTATCATGATGTCGTATATAAATTTGGTAATTGAAAATATTTTGGAAAATTACTATAAAAATATGAATAAATCCTTCAATTTAATAAAAAAAGATATTTGTTTAGTTTTAATAGTTTTTTAGTTTTATATTCTACAAATAAAGAAAATTATTTGGTTAAAATCCTAGAGATCGAAAATTTTATTGCAAAAATTTATAAAAATTATAAAATTTTATAAAAATGTTTAAATTATTCACAACAACCAAAACGATAGACCACAGTATGGCAATATTTCTGTTTCGGTCCTATAAACACATTCGGAAAATTGCACTGATTCATGGCATCAGGGTAGTTTTGACAAGCCAAACAAAAAGCACCGTATTGAGCATACACTGCTCTAGATTTACCAATTATAGGTTCAGCTCCTGCTTTATCAATATCAGGCCAATCGTTACAAGTACTAAAATGGACCGAAGGTTGATCGCTGAAAATCTCCAACCATCTACCCGAACAGGGATGTATTACTTTGGCTATAGGTTTAACTTGACCTTCACAGCTATCAATACAATAATTATTATGAAAACCTTTGTTGGGATAATTGAAAAATTTCTTAAGCCGTTTGCCCAAATTAACATATTTGCGCAAATCATGGGGAGTATGCTTGACAGGCATCAAACAACCGGTGGGTATAAGCTCTTTATCACATTCCACGATTTTGTTACTTTTTATCATGATATTATGCTGGAAGAGCGCCTCCTTGCGGGTATTATGGCCAGCCAGGTTTAAATATAGATTATTAGATATATTGACTGGTGTTTTACGATTCGCTTTGGCTTCTATATAAATCCCTAAATTGTTGTTATCATCTAGGTTATACGTTATAGTGGTGGTTAATTGTCCAGGATAACCTTCAGAGCCGGCAGGATTTATATGCTGTAGTATAATACCATTCTCGTTTTCTTCTATTAACTCCCAAATCATACTATCGAATCCTATAAAACCACCATTTAATTGATGTTTATCCTTAAGATTTTTGGTCAAACAGCATTCCTTTTCATCTAGAGTAAATTTGGCCTGAGCCACACGATTTGCTACCCTGCCAATAGTGGCTCCTATGTATTTAGTTTTATGATCTATATAACCCTGGATATTGTCAAAACCCAAACAAATGTCTTCTATATTACCATGTTTATCGGGGTATTTAATCATTTGTATTGTAGCTCCCAGTGTCAGAATGGCTACACTCATATTGTTGTTATTGGTCATAACAATGCGATAAACATCCACCGGTTTGGTGGTTAGGGGATTTAGAGCAGTTCCAAAGATGCTAGTATTAATAATTACCATTTTTTTATGAATTTTGAAATTTTTAATTTAATTGATTTTGTTAATATTTTTTTATTTATTTTGAAATAATTTGGGATTAGGGCTTTTCAATTTTACATAAATTTCTAAATTTCCGATAAAGTTATAGAAATTTTACTGTAAATAGAAAGTTTTTTACTGTTTATAAATATAAAAATGTGTTCCAATTGCAAATCTATTATCTTTAACGTCAGTCGCTAATCGACAGCAGTACCAATTGTAAGCATTATGTCAAATATTTAAAAATAACGGCATATTTCCCCTCTACAGAGGAAAAATACCTTCACTTTCAATAGCAATTATGCTACAATAAAGCCATCTGGCAACTTTTCACAAAATGAGCAACAATCATAGACAAAACAAAGATGTCAAAAACTCATACCCGTTAATAAAACAACCTTTTGATAAAACAGCAAACCCTAACAGCTGTTTTTGATTGTTGTGTGGTGAGTTTCTGTAAAAACGTAAACAAATGAAACAAAAACAAATTACTAGACATATTTATTTTGTGCTAAGAAAAATTTATGTATTTTAATAATGTTTTGTAGCCAGTGCAAGTGTTCTTGGTGTACACCATCTACCCCAATAATAATCCCGGTTTCATTAGAATCAAGTATTTTTAAAACGGCCATATATAATGTGCAATTCATTCTATATTCCATGACTGGTTGAAAGAGTCACGGAATCCACCGGAGATCAACCTAAAAATGAAAAAGGGGTGGCTTTAATTTCTTGTTCCGTTCATATGGGACAAGATTCGAGCCTCATCGTATCAGTTCGCCAGATACCTCATTTGTGTATATTGCAGGGTCCTGGTACCCAACACAGCCTTATTTTAAACGGTCTCATAATAATACTTAGATCTTTTCTTCATTCTACGACTATGCAAGAATACAGCTATGACATATTAATGCTTTAAATGCAGCATGACTATCAACCTAAAATCTTACCAGAGACCGGCGAACAATGTGATTCCCTATTAGTTCCGTCACTTTCAAGATCGCTAAATCACCACTTGGAAGACACAACCCATCAGGGAGTCAAGGAACATTTTACACCGTTTGTAACACATTGAAATATTGGTCTAATATCCATAAAAGTATATGCTGGGATCATATTACAGTCTAAGATTGAGTTTGTTATTGAAAATGGACAATATCGGTATACGATAAACTCATCAGGGAGCCAAGGAACTTTTACACAGAAATATTGGTCTAAAATCCATAAAACTATAGACTAGGATCTTAGCCAATATTTGCCAAAATATTTTTAGTTGATGGAGTTTATTATTGAACTTCAATATTCCAGTATAGCGAAGAAGAACGACAAAAACAAGTTTTATAGGAACTAAAATCTTTTTGCCAAATTTTATGAGGATCAGGAAATTATTTTACAAGATTTATATGATCCAAAACCTTTCTGGGTTGGTTCAAAATTGACCCTACCCCCATATAAGTTCCCCTTCAGAAAAAGATATTAACTCCAATAATTGTAATACAAATACCAATATAGCAAAGAAATTCCACATAAACAAGGAGTCAACATCGTTTTGTCAAATTTAAGGGGATCGGTCCATAATTTAACCTATCCCCGATATAAGGTCCACCTCGGGAAATTACTACCACTCATAACTGGCTTAAAAAATAGCTATAAAATTCGACAACAACTTTTATATGAAACAAAATTTATCTGTTGAATTTTGTAAGGGTCGGTCCACAGTTGACCCTACCTAAAATCTCAAACAGATTATGACATCCGATTTCTACACTTCCGACTTAAAGTTCTATATATGTTTTTATCGTGCAAAGATCTTCCGATAGCAGTTATATATAATTTTCTATATACGGATATAGTCAAATTTTTTGTAAAAAAAGTTTGTTGCTGTAGTACACACCCTAGAACGATGAATCCACAAAACAAATTATGCCATCCGATTTGTATATTTCCAACTTAAAGTTCTATATAGGTTTTTATCGTGCACAAGATCGTCCGATAGCAGTTATATATAATTTTCTATATACTTCCATAATAAAATATTTTGTAAAAAAAAATTGTTTGTTGTTGTAGTACACACCCTAGCACGATGAAATCCGGAAAAAAATGTATGTCATCCGATTTCTACACTTCCAACTTAAAGTTCTATATAGGTTTTTATCATGCACAAGATCGTCCGATAGCAGATATATGTCAATTTATATATACTTCCATAATAACATTTTTTGTAAAAAAAAAGTTTGTTGTTGTAGTACACACCCTAGAACGATGAAATCCGGAAAAAAATGTATGCCATCCGATTTCCACACTTCCAACTTAAAGTTCTATATAGGTTTTTATCGTGCACAAGATCGTCCGATAGCAGTTATATATCATTTTATATATACGGCCATATTAACATTTTTTGTAAAAAAAAATTTTGTTGTTGCAGTACAAACCCTAGAACGATGAAATCTGGAAAAAAATTTTTTTCATCTGATTTCTACACTTCCAACTTAAAGTTCTATGTAGGCTTTTATCGTGCACAAGATCGTCCGATAGCAGTTATATATCAATTTATATATACTTCCATAATAAAATTTTTTGTAAAAAAAAAAGTTTGTTGTTGTAGTACACACCCTAGAACGATGAAATCCGGAAAAAAATGTATGTCATCCGATTTCTACACTTCCAACTTAAAGTTCTATATAGGTTTTTATCGTGCACAAGATCGTCCGATAGCAGTTATATATCAATTTATATATACTTCCATAATAACATTTTTTGTAAAAAAAAAGTTTGTTGTTGTAGTACACACCCTAGAACGATGAAATCTGGAAAAAAATGTATGCCATCCGATTTCCACACTTCCAACTTAAAGTTCTATATAGGTTTTTATCGTTCACAAGATCGTCCGATAGCAGTTATATATAATTTTATATATACGGCCATATTAACATTTTTTGTAAAAAAAAAAGTTTGTTGTTGCAGTACACACCCTAGAACGATGAAATCTGGAAAAAAATGTATGCCATCCGATTTCTACACTTCCAACTTAAAGTTCTATATAGGTTTTTATCGTGCACAAGATCGTCCGATAGCAGTTATATATCATTTTATATATACGGCTATAGTAACATTTTTTGTAAAAAAAAGTTTGTTGTTGTAGTACACACCCTAGAACGATGAAATCCGGAAAAAAATGTATGCCATCCGATTTCTACACTTCCAACTTAAAGTTCTATATAGGTTTTTATCGTGCACAAGATCGTCCGATAGCAGTTATATATTATTTTATATATTCGGCTATAGTAACATTTTTTGTAAAAAAAAAGTTTGTTGTTGTAGTACACACCCTAGAACGATGAAATCCGGAAAAAAATGTATGCCATACGATTTCTACACTTCCAACTTAAAGTTCTATATAGGTTTTTATCGTGCACAAGATCGTCCGATAGCACTTATATATCATTTTATATATACGGCTATAGTAACATTTTTTGTAAAAAAAAAGTTTGTTGTTGTAGTACACACCCTAGAACGATGAAATCCGGAAAAAAATGTATGCCATCCGATTTCTACACTTCCAACTTAAAGTTCTATATAGGTTTTTGTCGTGCACAAGATCGTCCGATAGCAGTTATATATCATTTTATATATACGGCTATAGTAACATTTTTTGTAAAAAAAAAGTTTGTTGTTGTAGTACACACCCTAGAACGATGAAATCCG